TGGTGGAGGAAAGGCAGCAGTGACAGCAGGATGCAAGTCCCACAGGGCTGAGACAGGGATGGGGTGGCACTAGGGTGCCCCTTCCTTGGCCCTGTCCCAGATGGGTGGGTGAAAATCCATTCTGGGGGCAGCACCATCAGCCCTCGGCCTCTGAGGCTGGCAGGACCCGCAGGATGTTGGGTCAGGGCGTGGCGCTGGCTACTTGCAGCTCATGGGCAGGGCTGCTCTGTCCTCCACAGCTGGTGAGCCAGGAGCAGAGCTGGTGCTGCCCTGGAAGTGCCAGAGCCCATTCCGGTGCCTGTGAGGCCCCATCAGGCGTCCGGACCATGAGGCTGGTCTCCTGTGTCCCTTGCCCCATGTAGCTGACTGGAACATGCAACACAGGCAGAGTGGCTGTCCTGGGGATGGCAGCTGCCCACGCAGGTGCAAGGAGCATGCCAGGTCCTGTCCTGCCTGCACAAAGTGGGTGGGGGTCGCACAGCAGCTGGGCAAGCACCAGACCCTGCAGCGGCCTTGAGGGATGCCATGTTTAAGCCCTCACAGGTGTATGTTGGGGTTATCATGCTTGGTCTGTCCCTGTACCCACCTTTGGGACTCGCTGTGGGCAGCCCCGTGTTCCTGCTTGATGCTGCAGACCCCCAGGCAGGAAAGTACCTGCCAGGCACAGCCCTGTGCTGCTGGGGAGCTCGGGGCAGTGCAGCCCTGGGTCTCAGGCTGCTGTTGTCAAGGGGTTAACAATGCAACCAGGATGCATGCTCTTTGCCTGGCTCTGGGCTGGGGTGTTTGTGGACTAGAGTGGAGAGAGGGGGAGCTTGTGGACCTTTGGGTTCCCAGTTTCTTGAACATGATGCTGTGCCAAGTTCAGCCAAACCTGGGTCAGAGTTGGGGATCAGGAGGGTCTGTGGAGCTATGGGATCCCATGTAGGGTGGTACTGGACCTCCTCCAGCTCTGCTCCCTGACCCACTCCCCTCCTAGGAGATGTGGGCACCCGGATCTGGCTGGTCCTGCAGATAAGCTCATGGATGCCAAATCTGCTTCCTGCGAGCTGCTGCAGGCACCCGTGACGCTGGAGTCAGTCGTGAACTTCCCCCTCAGCTGTGAGTCCAGCTCTGTCCCCAGCCTTCGTTAGTCCCTGCGGTTTTCCGCAGGGCTGCCAAGGAGGTGGACATGAGGCTCCTGTCCTGCTTCCCCAGGGAGATGCCCCAGCTGAGGGCCTGTCAGGAGGAGCAGAGGGGCTGTGAGAGGTGGTGTCTGGGTCTCAAGGCTTGCATGTGGAAAAGGGGCGCACGGAGCCCCACTCCACAGCGGGGCCCCGTGTCCTTACACAACCCTCCCCACAGCAAGAGCCACGATGGATGACATCTTCACACAGTGCCGAGAGGGCAATGCGGTGGCTGTGCGCCTCTGGCTGGACAACACTGAGAATGACCTCAACCAAGGGTGAGCAGGAGGGGATCTGGCCCGGCCTGGATCCGCTGGGGCGGTGTCCCTTGCTCGGCTGCACCACAGGCCGAGGGTGCTGGACCAGGGTCAAGGGTGCTGGACCAGAGCCGGGGCTTGCTTCCGCTCTGCTCCGTGTCCTGGTGAGGGGGTGGGATTCGGCTCCTCCCCACTGGGAGGAAGTTACCGCATCGCTGAGGCATGAGGGCTGCACATCTTTTTTGCTGCTGCTCCAAGCCACAGGATGGGATATGTCTTGGACAAGGGTTGGGCTGAGGGTGCTGGGGAGAATCTCCCCATCCCCAGGGTGGCTTGTATGTCTGGGTGACCACTTCCCCTGTCCCCATTCCTGGGAACACTGCAGCTGACGTGTGGAAGCACAGCTGAGTTCTAACAGGAGGGCTGGGAACAACCCCGAGGCCAGGAGCTGCACAGGGCAGTCATGACTGGCCGACCTGCACCCTGCCCCTGTGTGCCCTGCCCCAGATCTCTCCTTCCCACAGGACATCCCCTGCTCCAGGAGCTCCCGCGGGACCCGTGCAGTCCAATGTGCTGCCTGCCTGCCTTTCAGGAGCAGCATTCAGGCCAGGCACAAGGTTTAGAGCAGACACCTCCATTGCCTGTAGGCAGGCACAGCCTTCTGCCTGCACACCAAAGATCCCTTCTCAGGCCATGGCAGTGTCTTTGCTGAACTCGTTCTGGACAAGGGGCCTTCCCTTGGCCTTTGGCCACGTCTTTCAGTCCCTCCCGGGGGTCCCAGTCACACAGACCTTGTGTGACTACAGGTTGTGCCTGAGGGACTGGGGGCGGTCTGGCACTCACTGGGGCATTTTGGTCCTGGGTTCCTGTGCCGGGGTAGCCCCTGCCTGCGGGGCCAGCTGTCCTTGCCTGCCTGCAGGGGTGGTGCGGGAAGCGGGGGGGGCAGATGGGGTCTGCTGTGCCGGGGAGCTGGAGGGGAGCCGGGGATGCGGTGGCCCCTGCCTGCCGGGCCCTAATCTCCTTTTAAGGCCTGGCTGGTCTCCTCGTCCCTTACTTGGCCAGGGCTGCCGGAGCCGAGGGGGTGTGGGGGAGGGGATCTGGCTCTTGCCAGCGTCTCTGTGATTCAGCCTGGGAGATGGGATTTGGCCAGGGCCTCTGGGGCCTTCGTGGGGAAGGGGGAGAGTGGGAGAGCCTCTCAGACCGTCCCCTGCAGCTCCATGGCCTGTGTGTGGGCGCACAGGGCGATACCTGCCTGGCTGTGGGGCTGCCAGCAGTGCTGCGACCATGCTCAGCCCTCCTCTCCCTGCCTGGGCCAGGGGAGAACGCAGAAAGCAGGCTGCAGCCGCTCAGCAGAGCTGTCCCTGCTGTCTCCACAGGGATGACCACGGCTTCAGCCCCTTGCACTGGGCCTGCCGTGAGGGCCGCTCCAATGTGGTCGACATGCTCATCATGCGGGGAGCACGCATCAATGTAATGAACCGTGGTGACGACACCCCGCTGCACCTGGCTGCCAGCCATGGCCACCGTGACATTGTGCAGAAGGTACCTGCCTCTCACAGCCAGCACCCTGCCCCTTTCCCACCGACTTTCAGGCACCTACCTCGTGCCTTGCACAGCCCCATGGCAAACTGAGCAGGACTCTGTGAAGCCCTCCATCCCGTCCACCCAGGACTTGCTCCCCACTGTCACCTGCTGGCTTCCTTGCCATGAGTTTACTACATCCCCACCTTGGTGCCTCTGAGCACTTACCCCCTCCCCACAGAAGCCCTGCATCCAGCCTCAGCCACCTCCCAAGAGCAGACCTTGCCAGCACAAAGGCAGCAAATGTGCTGCTGTTGGTGCTTCTGCCCTCTCCCAGGGCAAGGTGGTGGGTGGAAGGGGATCTTCTCTAGATTTACAGGGATTGTCCTCCTGCCCCCAGCTGATCCAGTTCAAAGCAGACATCAATGCAGTGAATGAGCATGGGAATACACCTCTGCACTATGCCTGCTTCTGGGGACATGACCAGGTAGCAGAGGTGAGTGGAAGCACATGGACACAGGCAGGAGTCCAGCACGAGGGAGGTGGCTGAGGTGGGCATGGGACGGGAGAGAAGGGGTGAGGAAGGAGGCTGGGTTTGTATGAGGAGTCTGAGAAGATGACTGCAAACTCTGCAGATCCTTGCTTTATCCTCCCTCAGGATCTGGTGGGCAGTGGGGCCTTGGTCAGCGTTGCTAACAAGTATGGTGAGACACCCATTGACAAAGCCAAGACACCACTGCGAGAGGTCTTGAAAGGTAGGAGGATCTCATCCTGACCCCAGAACCTGCCTCTGGCTCCTGCTGCAGCCCCTGCACTCAGCATCAGCAAGCTCTTTGCTTGTGCTGCCAAACTCCTTGTCCTTCTCTAGAGCGTGCTGAGAAGCTGGGCCAGAGCCTCACCAAGATCCCCTACAAGGATACCTTCTGGAAGGGCACGACCCGCACGCGCCCCAGTAAGGACAGAGCCTTCCCTAATGGAGCATGCTGTTGCAAAGGAGAGCATAGCTCTCCTGTCCGGTAGGGCAGGCACGCCAATGGTACTGCCTCCCTCTGCAGTCCCAGGTGGATGTCAAGAGGAAGGTCCATGCAGCCACAGGCTGCATCTCCTCCTTTTCTTACAGGAAATGGGACTCTCAACAAACTTGCTGGAATAGACTTCAAACAGCTGAGCTTGAGCCAAAAACTCAATGAGAACCAGTCAGGAGAGGTACGTAGGCCTGTTGCCCCCTGGGACAGGGTGGCTGCACCCATGCAGACCACTGCTTTCTCCCCAGCCCGTGGCTAGCTGTGGAGTGCAGAACTGGGGCACAGCTGCTTGGTGGGTTTCCACATCCAGATGTGGGTCCAGCCCACACAAAGAGAAGGCAACTGCCCAGGACTGAAAGGCCAGGGTTCACTCTCATGCTTTGTCACAGTTGCTCCATGTTGCTGTGGTCCTGTCAGTCCTGTGGGCTCCGTGGGCCCCACAGCCCTGCACAAGGGGCTGGGATGTGCTCGGGGACTGTCCTTCTCATAGTGACTGTCTCCACCTGCCTCCCTGCAGTTGTGGAAGGGGCGCTGGCAAGGCAATGACATTGTCATAAAAATGTTGAAAATCCGGGACTGGACAAATCGGAAGAGCCGAGACTTCAATGAGGAATACCCAAAGCTGCGGTGAGTGCCAACATCCTTCCCCAAGGCAGCCGTGGCTCTCGAGGGCAGGCCTTATCTCCAGAGTAGTATGAGATAGGCAGAAGCCAGCCAGGTCTGCAGGGTTGGGTGGTAGTGCTCCACAGCGATGCCCAGAGGACAACAAGAAGGCCCTGGGAGGACCGCACACTAGCAGCTGTGCAAAGGGCAGGGAGGCAATGAGGGGGTGTGGGCAGCACCCACTGTTCTCAGGGCTGTCACTTCTCTTACAGGATCTTTTCTCACCCAAATGTGCTGCCGGTACTGGGCGCCTGCCAGGCCCCCCCAGCGCCCCACCCCATTGTCATCAGCCACTGGATGCCCTATGGCTCCCTCTACAACGTGTTACATGAGGGGACAAGTGAGTGCTGATGGGGGGTGACAGAGCTGGGGGCAGAGGCTAGTCTCCCCATCCTCAAGAAGTTGCTTCTCCATGTGTTCGGGGGGGTGGCAGGGGGCCCCTCCATCTGCAACACCAGGGTGGGCCCCGAGTGAGCTCAGTATCCAGTCTGCATGCCTTCCCCACGCCCCACGCGTGGTGTGTCTGCTAACATCAGTCCCTTCCCACACATGCTGCAAGTGATATGGCACCCCCACTCTCTCATTTACCCTCATGCCACCTCCCTCCCTGCAGACTTTGTAGTGGACCAGATGCAGGCAGTGAAATTTGCCTTTGACATTGCACGGGGCATGGCCTTCCTGCACACGTTGGAGCCCCTCATTCCACGCCACCACCTCAACAGCCGCAGCATTATGGTGAGTGTCGGTGTCACATGGTGCAGCCCTTCCTCCTGTAGGCTGGGGCAGGGCAGGCTCCCCTCTGACCTCCCCTCTCTCCTCAGATCGATGAGGACATGACTGCACGGATCAGCATGGCTGACGTGAAGTTCTCCTTCCAGTGCCCAGGGAGGATGTACGCGCCAGCCTGGGTGGCCCCAGAAGGTGAGCCCATCATTGCCAGACCCCTCCTGCTGGTTGGCCCCTTCCTTGCCCTCAGCCACATTCAGCCCTACGTGCTGGATTCCCTACAGCCTTGCAGAAGAAGCCAGAGGAAATTAACAGGCGCTCAGCTGACATGTGGAGCTTCGCAGTGCTGCTGTGGGAGCTGGTGACCCGTGAGGTGCCGTTTGCAGACTTGTCCAACATGGAGATAGGCATGAAGGTGAGGAGAGGGCTGGGAAAAACACACTAGTCCAGACCAGATCAGCCAGGGCATAAGGGGGCCTAAGCCGCCAGCAGGGAGCGGAGGCAAGGCCCACTGAAGGAGAGCCCACTGACACTCCTCCCAGAGGTATGGGCTCTGCCTGTCAAATGCAGAGCTGGGTCCAGATTTCTGATCCTGCCCTGCTCTCCCATGCTCCCAGGTGGCACTGGAGGGGCTACGTCCAACCATCCCACCCGGCATATCGCCACACATCTGCAAGCTGATGAAGATCTGCATGAACGAGGACCCAGCCAAGCGCCCAAAGTTTGACATGATTGTGCCCATCCTGGAGAAGATGCAGGAGAAGTAGAGAGGGAGGGTGCCTCCCAGCCACCTGACGCTGCCATGCTTCCCTCCCCGCCACCCCCAAGTGCCTTCTTTAACCCCAGAGCCAAGGGGGAGCAGGGAATGCCCCCTCACCCTGAGCCAGCCACGGACACACGGTACAGACAAGGCTGCCTTCTCTGGAGCTGCTCTGCAGGCTTCAGACACTGTAGCACCGAATCTATGGCAGCACCTCCATCCTCCCTGGCAGCTATGGGCAGAGACTGAGCAGGAGGCCTGGCCCATGACAGTGAGCACGGCTGGGCTCTGCTACCTGTGAGGCTGGGATGGGGCTGTGGAGCCACGCTGTCCTCATCCCCAGGCCCAGAGCGGCTCACCCACTTAGCAGTCTCATGTTAGGCAGCGCCCAGTCCTGGTGCTCTTCCCTACTAAGGACAGTGGGGTGAAGCTTGCCTGTTGTGCCCAGCACCACCCCAGCTTTGCGCTTCACTCTTTATCATTTCCATCCAGGCCATGTGGAAAAGCCGCCAGCATCTGAAATAAACATTTCTTACAAAACCTTTATGAAAAACTGCCTGCTGGTGGAGGGGTGCGTACATGCACAGAGCATTGTCCACAGAAAAAGGGAAAGACTGACACACGGGCTGCCCAACAGTCTGCAGAGTCCCAGGCTCTGGATCTGCACCCCTGTACCATCCCTCCTCCAGTAACTGGAGCAAGGAAAGCAGATGGGCTAACAGCACTCTCCTCTCTTGAGAGGAGGGCCCAGGCTATGTCTGCAGTGCTGTCTGTGTAAGCCCCTGAGCACTCCTGAGAGATGATGAGTATGCTCAAGAGAAAGAAACAAAGAGGGTTGGCAGTCCCATTTCTGCTATGCCTACTTCCCTTCAGCTTCTTGGGGCAGGGTTAAGCCCTCCTGGGAATGGCAGAAGGCACAACTATAATCCACCAGTTGCGAGCCCTACAACCAACCCCTCTCTGCACTGGCCTTTCAAAGGCACAGGACCGACTTCTGTTGGCATAGCGAGAACAGAGGCCCTAGCAGGCCAGCTTGTGTGCTGTTTTACTTGTAGGCAGGGCATTAGCACATGGGCAGGAGACAAGATGCCTTTCCAAAAAAAAAACAACTACCCAGCTGTTTAATGGCACAGAAGCAATTCTAAAAAAGTTCCCAGCGACAACCCCTCAGTCTTTATGTGAAGTAATGTGGCTTTTTCACATTGATGCCATATTCTGCAAGTGCTGGTGTCAGGTCTTCCATTGTCAGCGTGTACTTCTTATCCTGAAGGGACAAGGAGTGGTATCAGTCACAGCAAGGACAACCTAAGCTGCCAGACATTCCTCAAAACCTTGTGGGTTCAGGATTTTTCCCCAACAAGCTGTGGTGACCTGTACGTGGCACGATTCCCAGAAGCAGCTGCAGACCAGTGTTTGCGGCATTAACCAGCTCTTAAATACTGCACGTTTTGCTTGCTCTGTGCCCTCAGCTGCTCAATGGACAGAAATACACTGAGCGTTACTCAACACTGTAAAGATAAATTACATTGCCCTCATGAGGCCCCTGAACCACAAGCAGATGATGACTGGGAGAGTTCCCAGAAACTACCGTTACATGCTTGCTCCCCTTTTATGTTCTTCCCCAAGCATCTGAGTTTTGGTCACTGTCAAGAGGGAGGACACAGGGCTAGATTTGGTCTGATGAGGTGCAGCTACTCGCACATTCCTGTGAAGCCATCAAAGCATATTCCACTAATTCCACTGCCCACCTCATTTTCCCACCAGCATCCCTCTTCCACCAGCAGAGCCCTAGCTTATTAGTAAGTTTGTTGACCCTTCAGAAGCACAACAGGTTTTAAGACTTTCTACATCCCCACATTCAATGGCAACAAGTCTAGCTTGCTACAGCACCAGGAGAGGACATTTCCCCTCATCTGAGCAGTCATTCTCTCCTTCTCTCACCTTGCTCTTATTGCGGGAGCTGCCTGAGGCTGTTCCCTTCATCTTGCAGTGCTGCAGCGCATCATTTGCAATGTCAGAAATAAACTTCTGTGCGGCCAGAGAGATCAAACGAATGCTACCCAGCAGAGAAAGAGAAGGGAAAATTTCAGACAGACAGCACAGAGCAACACTGGGATCAAGGAATTTCTACTGGGGCCCCCAGCTCTCAGACCCTGTACAGGGTCCCCGAGGCCACATTCTACCACATCTGCTGCCACTTACATGCGTGGATCAGAGGCCTCGAATCCTGCTCTGTTGAGGTAATAGCCTGTGACAGCATCTGGGATCTGTACAAGAGAAAAGTTGGAGGAACTCTGCTTCCCTGTGGCAGCCTGTCACCTGCATGCAGCCTGCCCCCAGCGCATCCCATGTACCGTGGGTGTGTAATCCTCCAGCTGCATGAGGAAGTCCACCAGCGGTGTTGTGGAGACCACTGGCTTCACGTCCCCGTTGGCCGCACTGGGTGGCACGTAGACCCCATTGGACATAGCCCCTTC